CATAAAATGAGATAACCTAGGAAGTGATTGTAGATAGGAAGAGTTAGGAGAGAAGGAGGAATCAGCAAAGAAGACTGAGCACAAAGAGCTCCAGAGAGGCGGAAGGAAATCTCAGCAAGATCAGCTACTGGAAGTCAACTAAAAAAAGAATTTCAAGATGGGTCCTGTAGTCAACTGTAAAAAGATGCTGATACAATATAATATTTGAAAATTGACAATAAAATTTAGCATTAGGTGACTGGGGGGTAAACTTCAGAAGACAGTGTCTGTGAAGTGCTGGGGTTAAAACCTAAATACAGGGACTTTATGAAGAAGTTGAAGGTGAGTAACTAGCAGCAGCAAGGACATAAAACAAATCTATGAGGACCTCTAGGATCTGCTCCACCTCTTAGATTAATTTGAGCCCTTCTGAAAAGGCATCAGGATATATTCAGTATTTTAGAGACACATTCTTAGATGCTTTGATGACCCCAAGGATTTTGTTCCACAAAAACCCCATTGGGAAACAAACAGTTCACCACGGTATTAATAAAGTTTTAATTCAAAGCACTTGAAGATACTTTTGCCTGACCTTTCTGATCTTACCTCACTAGGTTTTTTTTTGTTATTTTTTCATTGAGATATAACTGACATATAACATTATATTAGTTTCAGGTATACAATATAATGATTTGATGTTTGTGTATGTTGATATCCATCACTTTACATAGTTATACATTTTTAATCTTGTAAGAACTTGTAAGATCTAGTCTCTTAATAATTTTCAAATATATAATATAGTATTATTAACTACTTATTTTATAACTGAAAGTTTGTTCTTTTTGACTACCTTCACCCATTCCCTGGCCCCACCCTGCTCCCAGCCTTTGGCAACCACCAATCTGTTCTCTGTATTTCATTGGGTTTTTATAAAATTACACAGTCAAATAAGAGGATCAATTTATAGGCTATTCTCCATTCTTAAGTGTATTATACTTTTGATTAAATAACATTATCTATAAGCTACCAAATGAAAGTAAGACAAAACTCTTTACTTGCTAAAGAGCTGATTGTTCAAGTTGAAAGTGATAGAATCAGCATCTATTAAGAATTAATCATTACCTCATCTTGTGTAATTGAAACAATTTGAAATTTCAAGTAAGGGGGTTTGTGTTTGAGCCCTGGGTCCATTCCTTCCTAGCAGTAAAAACTTAGACCAAATCTTAAACTTTTATGAATCTCAAAAATTAGAATGATAATAACTATCTCACAGGATGATTGCAAAAATTAAATAAATGTTATATGGGAGAATAATTCATAACAACTGAAGCCTATATACATATTGCTTATATATTGTTTCCACACACATACTTTTGTTGGACTCTTCCAAGGCTAAGGAGGAGGCAGGACTGGGTATTAGTATTCTCATTTTAAAGACAATGAAGCTGAGGCTCTATGATGCTAAGGGACTTGCTCAAAGTCACATGACTAATACCTGCTGGAGTTGACACCAGAAACAAACTTTTTATCGCTGATCCAGGGCTCTGTCCACTGTTGAGGTGTCCGCATGGGCCAGAGTTTCTAAATTTGACCCATTTTACTCCTGGTGATGTGAATGGATGGGCTGTGACAGCATGGTTCAGGGGGCAGGTACATGGCTGGGGGAGAAACCCTGGACATCCTTTCCTTGATTTTCATCTTTCCCTTCTCTAGTCAGCCATGCACTGATAACAAGCCCCTAAAAAAAGCCTTTAGTGTGTTTTACTGTGCAAGAGCTTTTACCACTCTTGGAGAGTCTTCATAGGACACCTTTGAGGGTATTCTCAGAATTGAATTTTCGAATGCTGGAAGAAACCTCAGACACCATTGAGACAAACCAGCATTTTACAGATGAGGAAGCTTAATTCTGGGACTACTAAGATGTGGGTGCAAGTCTCCTTAGGTCCTGTCAGAGATGGCACTGGCTCTGGGCAGTGTGCTCTTCCTGCTACACCACGCAGCCACTCACAGTGTGGCTAGGGCATGGCATGGCGTGGAGCCTTAAATCAAAATTCCAAAGCCTTTCTCAATTAGTTAAAGTAAAATAAATTTATTCTAACTCTGTTTATTATAGCATTAAAAAGAGCTTAAGCCACTTGATAAATAAATGGTAGCTGGAGTCATTTCTTGATGGATAATCATGTTTTCTCATTTGCAGTGTAAGTACTAGAAGACAAAGTGACTTTAAAACAGCTCATGAGAGGATCCAATTACCTGATAAGCGATTCCAAAGACCATATACATAAATGAAGAAACAGACCTCTTTGTGAATGGTGTCTGACAAGGTAAGAGCTTGTGTGGCACAGAAGCTATGGCAAATGTAATTATTTATCCTTTTACAACTAATGAAAGAAATAAAAAAATGAAGCTTTCATTTCAAATCCTTTTTATCTGGGTGAAACTTTAATTTTACGTAATTAAATTGACTTCACAGTTCAGTGTGTTAAAATATGCAATTAAGAACATATATCAGGGTTAAATGCCTATTGTTGTTTGCTCATTTAGAAATCATGCTGCTGAACTCCCAAACAAGAATGAACACCTGCCTGTCTGCTGTTTTCCCCAGAGGCAGGGGCAGCATGCAGCCCGCAAGCCTGGCTCCTCAAAATCAGAGCAGGCGGTAGCTTTCTGGCATGCACCAACTCCTGCATAAAGTTAGTTGATTATTTAGAAAGTTTTCACTTCCCTGTGAGGGGCTTTAAAAAAAATTCTCACCCAAGGATAGAGAGAGGAGGGAAGGGTGGAGAGAGATAGGGTGTGTGCAGGGGGCGGGGGCGGAGATTGATTGGTTGTCTCTGGTATGTGCCCTGACCAGGAAACAAACCCACAATGTTTTTGGTGTAGGGGATGACGCTCCAACCAACTGAGCCATCTGGCCAGAGATTCTTGTTTTTGTTGTTTTTTTTTTTGTTTGTTTGTTTTTTTTTAATGAGAAAGTATTCTGGGATTTTGAAGGTGTATCATAGATAATTAACTTTATGTCTCATGGAAATTTGTTCTAAAACAGCAATTGCATCATCAAAGTTGTTGCCTTCTGTTTGTTGTATGTTAAAAGTCACTCCAATTTTGCCATTTTACAATTTATGAAACATTTCTGCTAAACACCTCTTTTAATTTATTTTTTGCACTTTTGGAAAAGGAGGGGCTGAAGATATGTTATGGGAGGTGTTGAAAGGAGACAATGAAGTGGGATTGCCGTGAATTCACTGGAAAATTATCTTAAAAGGCAGTGGTCTATACAGATGAAGTCATTCACTTGTCTGCTTCCAGCCCCACTTGTCTTCCCTTTGAATAGCACCTTTGTGATTGTTAATTTATGTCTCAGCAGCATCCTATATTTCATTTTAAGACTTTGTAGTTGGGATATAGTTTAACTAGAACTGAGTTCTCTTTCCTTCTTTACTATATTCTAGAATTTATGTAAAAGTGATTCTTGTTTTGTCCATCAGGGTGGTGGTTAGGAAGGATTCATGGATCTAAGCAATATCCTTATAAAGATACATGGAAAATACAAACTCTTGAAGTGTCATTTTCTTTAACTCATTCTTTAGAGAAAGGCAACTTATTCTAATATTGAGTTATCCTTATTATTAATTTTGAAGTGAAGTTACCAGACAGAGACCTGTGTACATCCAGTAAGTTACAAAGACAACAGACAAGGGCGCTAGTTAATGAGTACATGTGAAAGCACTTTAAATCTGTAATGTGCTTTACAAAGTTAATAATTAACTTCATGTCATCCTTTTTACTTGGAAAGTAGTTTTATTTTTAGGAAGTATCAGTACTACTTCCCCGTGAAAGTATTATTTTTGTGTTTAGAATGTTTTTGCTAGAACCAAGTAAATTAATATATGTTCTGTCTATAAATCAGGATGATTAAGGGTTTGTGGGTGAACCATGCTGCTTTCCCAGACTTCTCAATTTTCTCTCCTTATAGTTCATAGTTTATAAGCATAAACAGTGATGGTCTAAATTTAAAGCTTGCTACATTAACATTACATGAGATATTCATATAGATACTAACATATGCTTATATTTGAGGCTTGTTGAAGCAGTGAAAAGTTTCTGAAGTTAGCAAGTACCTGACATGAGCTAAATTTCATAATTCAAAGATGGATTTAGTTCCCAACTAGGAATAAAAGCTAGAAGAAGAAGCCACTCAGTTGAAGGTACTAATATAAGTTCAAAATATTAGAGGTGCTATAAAGATAAAACAGTTAAATGACTTTAAGTCTATACAGAGACAGTAAATTCTATCCCAAGAAATTGGTTTAGAAATATGGAAAGAAAATTAAAAGATTTATCTTGAATAATGATTTGCTCCCTTATTGGCCTCTTATAATATTTCTGTATCATTCACTAGTCAATTTCCTATTTTATATCCTAGTTTCTTTGTGCTTCAGAAGGTATTTTCTTTTTGAAGAGAAATCTGAGGACTTTTGGTTACCCAGATAACACATTTAAAATTCAGCTAATTAGGTAAGTACTGAAATATCTAACTGTAAACCATTTGGGGCCAGTATCACTATCTTTCTGTGAGAATGAGTCTGATTTCAAATAAAGTGATTGTGAACAGTTTAATAAAGACAGTTATAGATAATTTCCTGAGATTCCCCTGGCATTTACTTCAACCCAGACAATAGCTGAATACATGGAGAGAAAGCACTCTCCATTTAGTCAAATAGACAAAAAGAAAGGAAAAACGTTGTATTCATAGCCATTAACTCAGGAAAGCAGCAAAGAAAAACTGGAAAAAGTATATTTGAATAATAATAATGGAATCAGACTCAGAAAGTTGAGTATAAAAATATGATACTTTAATGGTATGAACTTTTGAGTTAAGTCTGAGGGAAACTAGATAGCATTAAAAGATGCAGCAAATTAGATGCGCAGGGGAAGCACTGGTACTTGATAGGAAAGAATGTAGAGTATTATTTTTTGTGCTTAGATGTCCAGGTAAATGTTCCCCAAAGCAATCTTACCTTTGTTTTCTGCCTTTAGTTCCTCTGCCATCAAGCTGTCTTGTCGATTACCAAGCACAAATGCCAGAAATGAGAGGATCAGAGCATCCAAAATCCCAATAATAGCCAGGATGTATGCCCAGCGGACTGAACAAGCCCCAAGAGTGTACTTGTCCGTCTTTTCTCCACACATTCGTTTTACTTCATCTGAATCCCAGCCATCAGGGAAAATCATACAGCCAAGCACAAGGCAGGCAGCTGAGAGAGAGGGGGGAAAAAAGAAAAAAGAAGTTAAAATAAATTTTATTTTAGCAAATAGCAGTGATTTAACTGCTTAAAATTGTTGACTTAAAGAACAGCAAATCTTATGGCTGTCCTACCTGGAATGACTGCTCTCCCAATCCCTGCCCCCCAACCCTTTAACTTAAAAGCAGCCCAGTACTCTGCAGGAGCTCTAGGAATGCACTTCATGGTAAGCCCAAGCATTCTGAAAGAAGGGAAGGTATGTTGATCTATAATACTAAAAATTAAAAAATGAATTTTGGTGTGCATTTGTTGGAAGGCTTTCAATGCAAATAGGAATCACATACATAAGAAATCATAATACTGTAGAACAACTATTCATTGCTGGCTCTGAAGAGCCATGGCAGGAGCCAGATAAGGGATTAGGATAACATGGAAAATACCAGAGAGTATAATGAGTTTGAGTCACATCAAAATATAATTTCATGTTGTGATCTACACACACACACACACATTGAAAAGTTTCTTGAAACTGTACTTTCTGTATGCAATTTACTCTGATATTTTCTAATGTATTCTCTGTTCTGTTTCATTTTTAAAAGGTTGAAAAATGCTGCAACATGGTGTGGTACCACAGAGCTTTTGTGGAAATTCAGAAATTTAAGGAGAATACTTATATTCAATTTCCTAACTACCACTGTTGGAGTCATATGAATGCTTTTAAAAATATGTTATTTTGAAGATTAAAGAAGGTAAGTGGCTATTGTTGCCATTCTCATTATATTTAATTGAATTATTTAGGGGTAAATGATAATAGTTTAGGTTATAAAGAGCTTTCTGGACAGGTTGTTTCACTCATTAATTACTAATTCATTCAACTCATTAATTCAACAACTACTTATTCAGTATTTCCTATGGTGTCATCAACACTTCCCTATTTGAAGCCTTCATTAGCTTTCTTTTTAAAAAAAAAGATTTTTAAAATTTATTTTTAGAGAGGGGGAAAGAGAGGGACAGAAACATGATATATGAGAGAAACACTGATTGTGTTGTCTCTTGCACATCCCCAACTGGGTACCTGGCCTGTAGGCCAGGCATGTGCCTGAGCTGGAATCAAACTGGTGACCTTTTGGTTTGCAGGCTAGCACTCAATCCACTGAGCCACACCAGCCAGGGTCTTCATTATCTTTCAAAGGGAACCCTCCTTTCCCTCAGCTTTCAGTTTGCCCTCATTCTAATCCAGATTACACATTACCACTTAGACCATCATGCTCAGAGCCTTTTGTAGCCTCCACATTAGTACTGAAGGACACTCAGATATTTTGGTCAGGAATTCAAAGGCTCCATAATCCAATCCCTACTTAATTTTCCCATCCATCCACTTTATACTCTTCACTTGAGTTGAGCTCAACATGACCCTGTTCACACACTAAGTTTTTCAATCTCTTTATTTTCTCCTCTGCCTGGACTTATTTCCCACTATTGTCCTTAAATGTTCACTCTTAAATTTTTTTAACGTTCAAGTCAAATGCAGCATCCTCCACAAGGCAAGGCATCTCAAATACTCAATCTAGAATATTGTTAAATTGATTCTGGTACCAATTCTGATGTGTGTGTGGGGTTTCCCAACCACCCCAACAAATAGTATTTGGACACCAAATGGATGTTCTATAATTCACCTCAATTCTGACTCTATTTACCTGGAGATAGCACTAGATGACACAAATTAAGGGTTCAGTCCTAACAACTTCCTCCATCCCCCTTCAGATGCCAGTTTCAAGGCCAGACTGTTACCTGTGCTTCTGACACTTGGCTACAAATTGGAAGTTCCAATGACTCCTCCAACTCAGGATGCCAATTAGAAAACTACATTATTACCTGTATTTCTGATCCTCTGGCTATATGAGTCAGAGGTTCCCAAGACTCCTTTCTCCAGTTCAGTTAATTTGCTAGGGCAGCTCACAGAACTCAAGGAAACATTTTGCCTACTAGATTACTGGTTTATTACAAAAGAATCTATATAACTAAAAAACAGTCAGATTGAACAGAGCATAGGGTCAGGGTATGGGAAAAGGAGCAGAGCCTCCATGTCTTCTCTCACTCTTCCAGCGCCTCCTCATATGTACCAGCCTGGAAGCTCTTCGAAATCCATCCTTTGAGGCTTTTACTGAGTCTTCATTGGCACGATTGATTAAATCATTGGCCATTGGCCAATGGCCATTCAACCTCCAGCCTCTCCTCACTCTGGAGAGGTCAAGGGGATGGGACTTAAAGTTCCAATCCTCTAGTCACGTGGTTGGTTTCCCAGCAACCAAGCCCCATCCTTAGGTTCCAAAAGTCACCTTATTATTAATAACAAGAGAAATCTTTATAGCTGTCACACTTAAGAAGTTCCAAGGATTTTAGGAGCTCTGTGCTAGGAACAGTGGAAGAAGACAAAATACATATTTTTAATTATAAATCATAGTATCATAATTGTCTGCCTCTGAACTCCCACAGCAGCTGACTGTACCTATCTTAGAGTGCCTGTTATGTTTTATATTTGTTATTTATTTCCAATTATTATTTAAATTAATAGACTATAACCTTTCTGAGGAAAGAATCTTTGGTTAGCCATCATATTCACAGTACATAAAACAGTGCCTTAAACATCGTAGGCACTAACATACTTTTGAATGGGGGAGTGAATGAATGAATATGTGAATTATAATAGTTAGAAAATAAAATATAGTTTATAGAAGTTAATATCACAACTACTCAAGGTCATGAAAACTATAAAAGGCCTAATTAAAGATGGATTTATATTCAGGTGACACATAGCAAAGATAATTTTGCTATGACTGAGAAAACAGATTGGTAAGTACTTGGGAGAATAATTAGAAACAAATGAAGTAAATCATTTGAAAACATTTTCAAATTCCTGTTCCCTTTGTATCTCTCAGCACTTGGTACCAACATGCTCTTCAAGGTACTATCTAACAATAACAACCTGTGTATTTTAAAACATGTGGCTTTCATGAGCAAAAATTTATTTTACTTGAAAGACATAGAATATCTTTGAATCCAAACCATAGTTCAAAAAAGTCACCTCTAAGGATGCTATGTTACTTAAAATACTGAACAAATATTCTAAAGGTTTTTTATATATTAAAATTACTTTCTCATAAAAAATAAATAAATTGCCTTTATGAATGGAAATCACTTGGAGAATAACTTACAACTTTAGTACACATATAGAAATCACCACTGACAAATTTATACAGATTATTGGATATCACAGGATAAATTCACTGGAAGAGGATGTTTGTGGAATGGTGACATAACAAAGACATCTTTTTCTCAAGGTCTTCTGCACTGAGGGTAGACTATCTTAAAAGTTTCCACTTCTGGAAACTCTGAGTTAGGAATCAAAATAAAAAGAACAGAGGTAAAATTAACACTCTGAAACTGAAACCATGAGAGGATAATGGCAACCCCTTGTTTCCTATCTTCAGAGTCAAGGAAAATAGGCGATATAATATGCACTTGTGCTTAATTTTATACAAGGAGTATTCTGCTCAAATTTATAAAAACAGAATTTTTTTCTTTTTAAAAATATATTTTATTGATTATGCTATTACAGTTGTCCCATTTTTTCTTCCCTTTATTCCCCTCCATCCTGCACCTCCCTCCCACCAATGTTCCCCCACCTTAGTTAATGTCCATGGGTCGTACATATAGGTTCTTTGGGTTCCCCATTTCCCATACTATTCTTAACCTCCCCCATCTATTTTGTACCTACTATTTATACTTCTTATTCCCTGTACATTTTCCTCAGCCTCCCCCTTCCCCTCCCCCGCTGATAACCCTCCATGTGATCTCCATTTCTGTGATTCTGTTCCTGTTCTAGTCATTTGCTTAGTTTGTTTTTTTTTTAGGTTCAGTTGCTTTTTTAAAATTTTATTGTTGTTCAAGTACAGATATCTGCATTTCCCACCCACCACTCCCCACTCACCCTAGCCATCCCTACCTCCCTCCCCTGATTCCACCCCACCTTGATTTTGTCCATGTGTCCTTTGTAGTTCTTCCTGAAATCCCTTCTCCCTTTCCCCCCATCGCCCTTTCCCACCTCCCCTCTGGTTACTGTCAGATTGTTCTTAATTTTAATGTCTGGTTACATTTTGCTTGCTTGTTTGTAAATACAGAATTTTTAAAATGAAATTCTTATTTTCAATAGTCTAAGGGAGTTGGTTGTTCAGAAAAACCTTAATATAAAAACTGGGCTAACAAGGTCAGGGTTTGTCCTCTTGGGGAAAAGTGTTTCAGTCACCCTTAACACTTGGATACTCCAAGTGTCCTGCTGGCCACAAGGCACTGCAATATATATTGGACTCTTTACTCCCTTTTTATTTTATTTGCCTTCTCCTAAAGTGAAAGCTGCAATCTTTTTCTAATTTATCTGTTTGGAAAATCTGAGTGGTTATATAGTAAGATACTGAAAAATAAAACAATTGCATTTGAAAGCTTTTAAAACTTTGTAAGTGAAATTTGTGATTAAATTTCATTTTTTAAATGAATAAGTTCTATCCTTTTGAAAGCTGTGTTTCTGGATGGCCATTGTATAACAAATTTTATTTCCTGACAATGTATTATCAAAATGTACATTTTCTTCTTCCCCTATCCAAACTTCCTCTTCTTGGCTATCTTGTTTTATTTTTAAAAGGTTGAGGCCCCCCCAAATTACAGTGTATTTAAGATTAATTTAAACCATTAAAATAGTGTAGGCTCTGTTGGTTTCTTTGGAAAGATATTACTATTATGTTCTGCAATGATGCTTGAGTGCTACAATAAATTCTGTTTGCTGGCATTCTATTAACCAGAGACGTATTAACCTGTATGATTTGTGTAGCCACAGAAGACTAACAGCTGTTCCTAATCCTGACTGAGGAGTGCCAGCAAGATCCCAGGCTAATGTCTCAGTCAGTGAAAAATTAAATACTATTCCTCTTTGCTTTACAATTAATTATTTCTAATTC